GTAAACATGGTCACGTTTCAACACAATTTCCCCATCCTTCTTTGCTGGTCTTAATGGCTTCCTCAATAGTCAAATCTCGGTGTGTATAGGGGCACTTAGCCTCTAGAACACTATCTTCTCCAACCAATCCATCAGGAGAGGCACCGAGGACTCCGGAATGGTGTAACCACACACCTGTTTCCACCACATCCAGGCCAGTCTTCAGCCTGAATGCGTTAATTGCTTCAGATTCATTGCAAACCCCTACTGGACAGCTTTCACCCTTGATAGATCATATTCACCGAGAAGGCGTTTGATTAAGGACGGGGTAACACGCTTGGCATTTAAAACTGAACCAAAGTTACTTGCTGTCAGTCGACCCCTCCTGATCATTTGCCAAGAAGGATTGTCCCTTTGTCCAGCAGTAAGGCGGCTTACATCTTCAATAGTTTTCCATTCAACACTGACTTTATTCAGAAAATACTGACGTTGTTCTTGGAGGCCTTGCAACAGTAGAAATTCCTCTTGGAAAATAACATCTTCTACTGTAGCAACTGGCAAGGACTTAGACTGAGTCTGTGGTTCAGGGCTCATGAGCCAATAAAGTCCAGTAAATTTACCATAGTTTTTCAGCCTTTGGAAAAGTTCACTACGTTCTTCACGAGTTGGGTCTCTTAAAAGAGCACGGTATGCAGGTTTTGCAGGAGGAAACATTTCTTGCACTGACGGCAGCAAAGAGTTTGTGGCTTTTCGCTTTTTCCACTGGCATTCAATGTCTGTTCTACTGAGGTTGTATAGGCCATGTATAAACAAAGCGGCAGCATGACTACACCTAAACATCCCTCGTGCACACTCACAATCCATTGATTTAATGTCTTCTCTTCGTCTAAATAAATCTAAAATCGGGGAGAAAACTGGTATTACTTGGGGAACTGTAAGGCGTTTGTAAGTTTTCATATATTAAAGCTTAATTCATGATTGGAAACAAAGCAAAATTACCTTTTAACATAAAAACAGAGCGAGGTACGGTCGGTTGCGTTTAGGCCTCCAAATCGTGGATTTAAGCTTTCTTTTAAATATTTGTATTAGATATAATAACGATCAACATGACTGAGTCAAGCCACAAAATGCATAAAAGCCATTCGGTTGATAGAATCGACAAGAATCAACATGGTTGAAAGTATCGATCACTTACCGTCACTTTATACACTTTTTTCTTCATGCTAGGGTGAACTTCTCCACAAATGACACCATCACGGAAGGAAAAACTTTCTATGTGATTAGATTGATGATGATTTTCACCTCAGAAAAAAAGGAAGCCAGCGATGAGATCGAAAGTGCCGCCATGACTTACTCCATCCGTTTTGTTTAGACCCAAATTTTTCCGTTGCCACGCAACGTGACGTCATGGCTTTAGTACTCTATTGTGTTCCCTTTTAGCAAGTAATATTTAACTGGGGGCAAGTGAAACTGAAGTTTACTTGCCCACAGGGCAAGTGGATTTCAATTTTTTCCAGCCATGTAAGTGGCTTGCAAAAGAACATCTGAAAGTTTCACTGTAAAATTTGTTATATAAACACCTGTACAGTGTTGGTTTGGATTACACTTGGCATCTTTGGAGAGGGCAACCTTGATTGCTGTTTTCATATGCCCAGCAGCCATAGTCATGCTTTCACATTCAGGATTTTTAGGTGGACTCTGTGCTTCTATGAAACTAGCAACAGCTGTAAGAGAAAACAAATTGTGAATAATACAAGTGAGTTAAAGACATTCTTATCAAGTCAAGTCAACTTTATTTAGGCTGGGTAGCCCTATCAGCCATTGCCTGGTATCAAAAGGGACCATGCATAAATTATGACTACATGATAAAAATTAAAAAATTAAAAATTACTTTAAAATTTTGTGCAAGGATTTTAAAAAGTGACTTAAAGGGAAATTGTGACTTGCCCACTCAAGTACAATGATGACATTGACTATGTGACTGAATACATGTACTTCACATTAAACCCCTTCTGTAGTACTTTAGTGCTCCTTTGTTTTATACAAAGCCAAAAAAAATGATCTGATCATTCTAGAATTTCTTAAAATTTTGAATACTTTAGTTAATGAAAGGGACAGAAAGACGACAAACTCAGGAGTTGGCCCACAGGGCCTCCACAGTTTCAAAGCTTTTCTAATCAGTGCCGCAGTAGCTTATGAGTTAACACAGGGTTTTGTTTACAATGCCCAGGGTCTGCTTGATGCAGGTTTCACCAAGGTATTGTTGTTTTCCAGGATGAGAAGAATAATGCCCAAATTCAGATTAAACTACCATACTTATTACTTATTCAGAATAATTATTTCAAGCTCAAATCCCCTAGGGAATTCTTCTTTGTAACCAGCTACCATTGACCGAATTTGGAAGACATTTGCGATATTCGATAAAATAACATCATTGGTGCAGGATAACGTAAGAAAAAGGAACAGCAACTGAGAAGCCCTGGGGATGGGTTTGGGTTTGCATTAGCTGAGCAGCTGTGGTAGAGCTAGAGAAAACAGAGAGTATTTCACACAGTTTGCATAGAAGAAATAGCCACCCTACTTGCTTAAAAACATAGCAAGAATAGTAACAAACACACCTCAATGGATGACCACTGATCACTTTGATCGAGCAAAGATTGTTTTCCTTTGTTTTTAAATGATGAATCATTTTGAATGAACAATAAAACAAGTCAACTTTGGTATGATCTAAAATATGCATTCTGTGGAGGGTTATCTGCTGTGACAACACCTCCCTCAATCTGCAAAATTCTTCAGATCATAGCCTCATTCAATAACTGCTATTAACTATTAACTGCCTGGTGTTGAGTTTTTGTCCAACTGGCACTATGACAGGACAATAATATTATTTTATACAATTTCCTTTGTTAAAGCCTCTTGTATAGATTGCTACAATATTTACAATAATATAAAAACAATAACACATCACATTCTGGATCTCCTTACCTGGAACATTACAAGGTGAATTATATTAATTGTTATCAGGTTACCAACATTTTTGTCAATTATATCAAAACAAACCAGAAATAAAATAATATACTGTTCTGTAAAAATGCAAGACACTAATTGTGATATATCATGATTGAAACCAAAAGCCAAATTCCTTAAAATGTCTTTCAAGCTCACCAAGCTCACAGGATTTGTGCATTTTACTTAAGTTTTGTAAGCATAATAAAATAGATCTTTGTCACACCTAAAGATTTTCTAACATGAATACTTGTAGCTGCACAAAAATAGTTAAGGGAATTACTGAAAGTGAGGCTTATCCTCGGTGTAAAAACCTGTGAGACTCACGAGTGACATAAAACAATGAATACAAGGAAGCCACAGGGAAGTCAACACAATAGAGCCAAGGAACGTACATGTAATAGCTAGAAAACAAAGAAAAACTTCACAGGTTTTTACACCGCGGTAAACCCAAAAGTGATGCATGTACACTGTACATGTAAACAAGGTAGAGAAATGATATGCCAATCTAATTTTATCAACAAGATTATAGTTCACTGTCAAATGAAACAGTTAAATTGACTTAAAAAAATCTGTACCACATTACAGAAACGCGCCCATTGAAAAACGTCGCCCGTGAAAAGTGGGGTACCCATTAGGCTTTGCGAGCAAAAACGAAGTTTCAAAGACTACCATCGTTTTCGGTCTCTTATGAACTTCATAGCGGTTAACTATTCCCACACTTTCAAGAGACAATGCAGAAACAATAGAAGTAGGTTGCCATTGTTTTAAGTGTTGGAATGTCTTTGTCAGTGCTTCAAGTTTATGCAAAGAGAAGCATTTTTCTTCCTCGTGCACTAACATAAAACCCTCGCGAATTCAGTAGTCTCGTGCGAATCGTTTTGATGGCAAAACAGTTAAAGCTAATCAGAAACCAAAGTATTCTTCACTTAAAAACTCATCTTCACGAAAATCACTCGATAAGATTGAATAAAATTGTTTGCAGCGTTTATAAATATTATTATCAGAAGCGGTATTGTAGTTGTTTTCAAGAGACGGATTAGATCGCTGTTTAGGTTTGGCCGTTAAATATGTAGTTATAGCGTTCTTAAAGAAAGTATCGCTGTTAATTTTGCCTTATACTTTGCTAAAATCAATATCTTAAATGAAGAATGTAAGTGAGAGTGCTTTTTCGTCGAATTTGCCCGTAAATTTTAAGGTTTATAATATTATCCAAAACCCATGACAAAATGAAAACAAACTATTAACGCATCGGTTGCGCTCATATTTCATCCATCGATTCGAACACCAAGAAGTTTGTAAAAGGTAAAAATTCATTTTAAGTCAGTGCATTGAATTATTTATGGCAAAATCAACAACAGTCATCGAGGATTTTTTCAATTTTGAAGCGTTTTTAACAGCAAAAAGTCACATGCTAATTCGGAGTAAATTTAGACAGTTTTTAAACAGACTGAGCTATTGTTAGTCGCATAAAGTTCTATTCTTCATCGAAGAATAGGCAAATGTTGCGGATGTCTGAGCAGGAACAATAACCAGGAAAGGGATATACCCAGGGGATTTCTTGATTGACACTAAATTAACGTCATTTTTCACTTATTTGCATTTTCACGATCGACGTTTTTGAATGGGCGTGTTTCTGTAATGAGTAGTTGAATTATACCTGTCATGAAAAAAACACAAAAATTTAGACAGAAACCCTGTGTTTAAAGTCTAGGTACGGCACTGTTCAACGGAAACCTAGACATTGTGGCAAATTCTGGGAAAAGAAAAAGTGGGATTGTGATTAAAAAATGTAGATTAGACGAGAAGAAAGAAGAAGCTTTGTAGTTTTGTCCTGATATGTTTAACCATGGCATACTGGAAACAATCTACACACTGCTCAAAATGAAGTCAACTAAAGCTGCTGGACTCAATGGAATTCTTGCTTGGTCATTGAAGGATGTAGCAAATGAACTATCTAGACCCATCGCCTACTTCATAAATTCATCAATTTCTACCTGTATGATGCCATCTGAATTGAAAAGTGCGAAGGTAATCTGGAGATAAGAGCGACCCAAATAATTATCGCCCAATTTCAATTCTTCCATTTATTTTAAAAGTAATGGCATGTGCAATTCAATGACAGCTTGTGGCATTTCTTACAAAAAACAATTCCTTATTAGTACATCAATCAGGATTCTGGAAGAAACATTCCACTGAAACTGCCACTGTACATTTTGTTGATCACATCGTAGAACAAATGGATAAACATTTGATTACCGGGTTAATTTTCACAGATCTAAAAAGAGCATTTGATCTCGTTAACCACCACTGTCTGCTACATAAACTAGAATGTTATGGAATTAAAGGATAAAGTCTGAAATGGTTTGAAGACTACCTTACTATACGAACCCAAAAGATCAAATAATTATAACCAAGATGTGTCATCCACTCTAGCTATTGGGTATGGGGTCCCCTAAGGATCCATACTGGGCTCGCTACTGTTTGTTATATGCATCAATGATCTCCCGCAAATTTTGCTGAAGTCGTCAATAGGCATGCATGCCAAAGATACGATTATCTACTTCTCTGACTCCAGTGCAGAAATCATCAAGCAGGTTCTAGAAAACGATCTAAACCATGTTGAACAATGGTTAGCAAGCAACGGACCCGTACTTAATCAGAGTATGACAAAATGGAAGCTGTTTGGTACTAGGAAACTAGAACTACTGTTCACACCACAACATACAACTTCATGGGAAAGAAATTGACAGAGTATCAAGCCTTGTTACTTAGGGGTTAGACTAGTTGAGAATCTCTCAAGGAACCAACACGTAGAATTGACTTGTAATAAAGCGGGCAAGATTCTTGGCCTGCTGTCCACCATACGACCTTACCTTACCCTAAAAGCTGCTAAATGCGTGTATAATTGTCTAGTGCAGCCGAGTTTTGATTAAACTGATATGGTATAGGGTGGGCTGTCAATTGGATGCACTAACAGCTTCCAACGTCTACAAAACAGAGCAGCACACTTAATACAAAGGAGTGCAACGACCGAAGAATCATTCAGAATGTTAGGGTGGGTGGATCTGGAAACACAAAGAAAAGCCCACAAATGTATTTTAGCTTTTAAATGTCTAAATGAATTAGTTCCTCCATATTTATCAGATTATTTTATTAGAAATCACACTATTCACACTTACAAGACAAGACAAAGCAACAACATTCATCTACTGAACTCTAATTTAACGCTAGAAAAAAAGCACTTCTAGATTTTCAGGTGCGGATCTTTTTAATAATTTACCCACATCAATAAAAGAAGCTGCGCCACTTTCCATTTTCAAGAACTTTCTTAGATTTCATTTTAGCCATTAGTTGTTTACTTATTATTATAATTCTTAGGTAACTCCAATAGCTCTCTTATTGTTCTTGATCTTAAACAAATTATGATGTTATGTAATTTCCCTTTTAAAACTTTTTAAAATCCTTGTACGTTATTTTATAGTAATTTTTAACTTTTATATTTTTATCATGTAGTCATAATTTATGCAGGGTGCCTTTTGATACCAGCCAATGGCTGATAGGGCTACCCTGCCTAAATAAAGTTGACTTGATTTGACTTGACACTGTTCAGGGTCTGTTTGCTCAACCTGATAAATAATTCAGCGAATTCCTTCCTAAAAGCTGGGACCAGCGACGTTTTGAAGTAAAGCATGATAGGTAGTATAATATTATTACAAAACAGACAGGTATCAAGAACTTTGTGCTCTGTGCATCAAGAAAGAGGACATAATGGAGAAAACTTATTTATGAAATTGAAAAAAATAGGCTACTACAGACTACTGTGTTGGACCGGAACCCTCCGATTCGATATCTTTTGTAATCCATCGCCTTCTCTAATAACCTCATTCTACCCCATAGAAAACAAAAACACCAGAAATGCATGGCAATCGCGACTCATCGCTTTCCGCATTCAATACAAGTCAGGCAAAAAATTTTTTGGACGTAACAATGGTTGAGCCGAAGCATTTCGATCGAAGAAAACAACAACAGGATTTTCACATTAAAGCATACACACAACGAAAACCAAGGAATCATCGATACCACAAAATATTGCATTGCCTTTTGAGAAACCTGGCTAGACCTACAGGGTACTTAACGAGTAGCTTACTTGTAAGCTTATATAAGCTTACAAGAGCTAAACGTTTACATAAAAAGTTCCTTGTTCGACAAGCATCAGCGGAATCGAGAAAATCATACGTATGTTTTCAAGGGAACGTTTTCAAGAACATAACATATTCTACACTCACATAACAGGAAAAGAACGTGGCGAAGGATCCACATACTGAATTTTTAGCACAAATGTAGATGACGAGGCAGTAATTCATGTGACGAAGAACCATGTATCGTCGGAGTTTGCTCGTTGCTTGAATATTGTTTTTCTTCAGATCATCTTGAATCATGGGTAAAATTAAAGGCGTGTTCGTCTGTCAGCGGCAAAAATATCGGCTACCTAGTATACTGTATGTAAGAACCGCACTTTGTCCTCAAATGTTCGCTCCCTGACTTCCGAGCTTCCGAGATACTTGTACGTTCCTACACATATTCATTTGCTTATCAATAAGCTGTTGAATTGTCTGGCTCGTGCTTTTGAAACTGAGATTTCTTAACTACCGGTGAACTTTCCTCTTTTACAGTAATCATGGATAGGACAACTTCGTTGACACGTATGCAACATGCAGGCGTTTAATTCCCAAGCTTTGTTCTTCCGGCGTTTTGTGATTGTTGCATATTGATTTTCGAAGTACCTTTTTTAAGATGAGATTGCAGACAAGAAGTGTTCTGTTAGTAGGCCTTCTTTTTTCTGGAGTATTTATTTTCTTTGCTTTGGAGTTATGGTCCATTCTTCCGTTTTCCGATGATGAAACAGAAGTCAACCCGTCTCCTTTGGACGACAACTTGGTCGAAGTAGTGTTAAAAGCGGAGACACCGCTTGCCAAAAAGAGAGACTCCAAGTGTCTGATGCATAGCTGTTTTGACATATTTCGATGTGGGGTGAATGAAAACAAACTTATATCTGTCTATGTTTATCCTTACATCCGCTTTTTGCACGAGAATGGGCATGCTGTCAACAAGGAAATGTCTCAGGAATTTTATGAACTTCTCGCAGCCATAGTAAACAGCAGGTACTACACTTCTGATATGAATAGTGCCTGTATTATAATTCCTTCGATAGACACCTTGAACCAAAATCGTCTAGATGTCAAAGGCATCGCCAGAATCCTTTCTGGGCTTCCCAGGTAAGTTTCACTCCGTAAAGACTGATAATAAGTGAAACAAAAATACAGTGAAACCTCTATTAAGCGGACACCTTCGGGACCTTCCCAAGTGTTTGCTTAGTAGAGGGTGTCCGCTTAATAGAGGTTGTAAAAGTTGCGCAAATTACGTTTGTTAACGATCAGTTGTACTGTGATAAAGTTGCATGTGGTTAAAGAAGCTATCCAGAGTTCAAGCTCCATTACCTTTGATTACTAACTTTAATTTGTTTCAAAAGTAGGTTGGGTTTGATCGTCCAGGTGAACGTAGTCCTGAATAGGACTATTGTTGTTGACAGTGACTGATGTTTCGACAGCCTGTGCGGTAGTCATCTTCAGAGTCAAAGTGAGTTGTATCATGTCAGTTGATGGTATTATACTCTGGTAATTGATCTGATTGGTCAATTAGGTCGTGATGTTATTGGTCGTCTGTCAGTTAAGCCGTGGTGTTATTGGCTATGAAGACTCATAATCAGTAATTGGTGCATTTCGATCCCTCCATTGTCACAGTTAAACAGTTGTTGTTAGTCAAATTGTCAGTTCTCCATTCGTTCTCTCGTAAATAGTTTTGCTTAATCTCGTCAATAAGTCATTTGTATGGTGCTGGTAACTGTTGGCTACGATTCAGTGGCGTTTGTTCTAAGTTAGTAAACCAGCTTTTTAAACTAAGTCATTGATAGTAGTTTGTAGAATACGTCATACATGTCGCAGAGTCCCAGTCAATTTGATGTTTCGTCTGTAAATGGTGTTCAGCAATGTGATTGTTGACGTCACCATTCCTCGTCGCTCATTTGTGTTCGGTCAGTTGCATGCTAAGGTTTCTGCCGGTTTCACCAACGTAAGAAGCCTGGCAGTCACAGCATTTTGATTTTTTATACTGCTCCCTGTCTGTTCTCTGGTTTGTCTTTGTCCTTGAGATTAGTAAGCAGTCATCGTGTAATGTTTATTGGTTTGTGTGCAACACGTATATTGTAAGGTTGTAACATACGTCCGATAGTTTCAGAGGTGCCTCTGATGTACGGTATAGTTGCTGTCTAAACAGGGCCAGAGTTGACGTTGATCTCAGTGTTAGAATCAGAATCAAAATCAGGATCAAGCTGCAGGGTCCAAAATTGCGCCTTCCTGGTCGCCAGTGCGACTAAAAATTCAGTTCTGACAACCAGGATTTCATAACTGGTCGCCAGCTAGCGACTTGAAGGGCTGGTTGTTTATTGTAGACTTTCACGTTCGGATAAAATTGTTAAGAATTGAAACCTCAAAGCTATTTGCCAACAGGTGTCTTACTTTTTGTCCTGCTGATATTTTTTAATTAAAAGTGAAATGAATCTTCCTGTAAATGTACCTCCACAACAGCTATGATCAATACGAGTTGAACATTTCCAAGCTGCCATTTTGTTTGTAGCTGAACTACGGTAAGTATGTTATGTATGTGGAATTCTACTGTACCCATATGCTACAAGTAATGTGGCACTGTTGTGGCACTAGTACGAGCAACATGGCGGTTTGACTCGTGACTCCTGTTTATGTTTCGTGTTTTGTAGTTATCGGAAGAAAATAGAGCTTTGATATGATAAATGCAGTCATGGGCAGATAGCTTTCTGTTCCGACATTCCACGTCAGATAGCTTTATATCTTCAAAAAGTAATTTGTGAAAATAAATAAATAAATAAATAAATAAATAAGGGTTTACTTGTACACGTACAGTTGTTTTCTGGTATTTGGAGCCGAAGTAGAGCAATTTTTGAGCATAAAAATGTCCATACCATGCATTTTTCATTCATGTTTAAACTTTTATTTAAAAAAAAAGGGAGGGGAAATTTTTGGCGACCACAATTTGCCCTCTGGCAACCAAAAATTTATATTTGCTCGCCAGTTGGCGCCCATATTGAAAAGTTAAATTCGAACCCTGAGCTGGTTTACTAACTTAGAACAAACGCCACTGAATCATAGCCAATGGCTACCAGCACCGTACAAACGACTTATTGATAAGATTAGGCAAAACTAACTATGAGAGAATGACTGGAGAACTGACAATTTGACTAACAATAGATGAATGTTTATCTGTGACATAAGACAGATCAAAATGCACCAATAATTACTGATTACATACATAGATTCATACATAGCCAATTATATCAGGGCTTAACTGACAGACAACTAATGACATCGCAATGTAATTGACCAATCAGATCAATAACCAGAGTATAATACCATCAACTGACGTGATACAACTCACTTTGACTCTGAAGATGACAACCGCACAGGTTGTCGAAATGTCGGTCACTGTCAACAACAACAGTCCTATTCAGGACTACGTTCACCCAGAAGATCAAACTCGACCTACCGTATTTCTTCACCTATAAGCCGAGCGATTTTTTCGGTTTTCGACCCAAAATCTTGGGAGATTTTTCACGGAGAACGGGGTTCGGCTTGTAGCCGAGGGTTTTACATTTTAAAAATATACAGTCGCTGAATAACTTTACCCCCCCGGCTTGTAGTCAAGTTAGCAATGAAGCAGAAGTAATAAAACACAACAAAAATAACTTTTGAATATTGGTTATTCACTTTTATGAAATTGGTGGCTCCTAAAGGAGCCGTTTGACGGATATGTGCAAGGGCTTTCAACCCAATAGTTTACTCGCCATCCGTTTCGTTTTCGCTGTCTGTCTCAAACTAGTTCTCTTCTATGTCTTCATCGTCTACTTTTGAAATGACTCCTGGGCTCAAACCTTTCACAGTTTTAATTATTTGTTTGTAAATGCAAAAACATTAACTGACTTCAGCCCATATTTCAAGGATGTAATCCAATGCTACTATTGTCAATTCAGTCCGGTGTCTGCTTAATAGAGGTTATTAACAATAGAAATTAGCCAAATACACCTTATTCTAGAGTCCACGTCCACTTAATAGAGGTGTCCGCTGAAGAGGGGTTTGTTATAAAGGGAAATATAAGACGTTAATTTCGGGACCCGGCCTAGTGTCTGCTTAATAGAGGATGTCCTCTTAATTGGGGCTCCGCTTAATAGAGGTCTTACTGTAATAGTAAAAGAAACTGCAGATATTGCTCCAAATGTAACCAGGGTTCAAGTTTTGCCTAGAATATTAATGTACTAGTCAATTCCGAAACTGCCCATTCCCCTGGCCGAACTGTTCGAGACATGGTGATAACACTCGCAACGTGAACTCATCCATTTACAGTATTTCCTAACAGCCACTCTTGGCTTGATTCAAGTGATCAGGAGAAATGCTCCATAGAACACAGAGGCTGGCTCCTTTTGATTCCTAATGTTGATATAATGTAAGAATAAAGATAAAAACTATGATAATTTCTGGACCTCGTAGTGGATCTTGCTCTGTGAGTTATCCAGGCCTCTTGGCGAAGTTTTATATATAAATTAAACATAATTTTTATATAAAGATATAAATTCTAGTCTCTCCTTTTGAATTTTTGTGGTTTTTTAAGTCACTGAAGCTGCCCCTCCTACTTATACTTATTATTATGTTGCGCATGACATCACAATGCCTCAAATGGTTCAGAAGGTCTTTATGTGATGTTATTCACTAAAGAATTTATTTTAACCACCCTTCAACAAGGTAATATTATCAGCAGTCATTCACATGCTTGTGTGCAGAAATAGCTTGGTACCAAACGGGAGGGCACATTTAGATGTTGACTTTGAAACATCCAATTTTATAGCTAGTTTAAGCTAAGTCTTTAAAAAGACCTAAAACTAGCTCTTATGGTAACCTGAAAATACAGCCATGTTTCCTGCTCTGCACTGCTGGGGACACTTTGCAGAAAAGACATCTGCACCTCAGTGACAGACATTCCATACTGATTTCTGGAACCTGGTCAGGAGAATGTAGTAGTTATTTTAGCTGCAAGACTCAGAAAGTGCAAGCACTTCTTTTATGTGTGTGTGTGTGTGTGTGTGTGTGTATGTGTGTGTGTGTGTGTGTACTTGCCAAAAGGGAATCATGGTCCCAGGCATTCCTAGCAAAGACCGTGGAAACCAGAAATAAGAATCACGATGTGTCACAGCGCCATGCTTTATTTTGTGAAGATAGCTTAGGAAAGATTGATGTGAAAGATGTTGAGCCTTTCCAAAATGGGTCGGTCCACAAATTCTATCGCCCTCAAGCATTGATTACTTTGGCGCAAGTGAATACTTCAGTGAAAACTTTGATGGTAAGGCTATAAACTGGTCGGGTGTTGTAAACTTTCATTGTATGTAAATGAGTCTTGTGAAGAGCATGCAGTTTATTTGTGCCAATGATTGAAATGACACTCCATGCTCATCACGTTTTTGGTCCCTGGCAATGATGTAATTTCTCTCAAATTGATTTTCATGAATTTATACACGCTATCTCAATCATCGTTGAATATGATATAAAAAGTAAATGTCCTGAAGAATACTCGACCGTCGATAAAGTAGGAGGTGAAAAACTTTTAGTAAGGAAATCCTGTTTCATGTATAATTATATAGCTGTTAGTTAATCTGATTTTGTCATATTGTTATGCAGTGTCCAATTAAGGATTAATTTGGATAGTTTCAGATAGGACTTTCCCTTAGAAATAGGCAAACTATCCAAGTTAAGAAAGATAGAGTTTATGGTCTGAGCCAACCGAATGCCAGAAAGTGCAATACAATTTGGATTAATTAACCAGCTATGTCATACTTGTCTAATTTGGAGATAATTGAATTCAAAAAATCAGCTTTCCTTGGAATTTTTTTCATCCAATCATTGCATGATATATGACAAATATGAATTAGTTGCCTCCTCTTTTCTTATCTAATCTCCAAGCAAGTGAGACTTATTTAACACTTTTTAACAGCATTCTTGTTCTCGCTTAAAATGTCAGCTTAAGCAAAAAAAATTGACACAGCATTGTTTGTAAAGGTTTTCTCAAGTTTCAGCCAGGAAGGGAGGGTAAATAAAGTAAACTTGATGAGTTTTCCAAACTTTTTCAATTCGTGCTTGTGTGATTAGCATGCGAATTTAAGCATAACATCTTGACCTCACGACCATGTTTACATATTCTCATGCAAAGATGCCTCAGCCAATCAGAGAGTGCGTACTATCTTAGTTATTTTATAAACTATTTTAGCTATTTACAATGACAGACAAAAGACAAAAGGCCACAGAGAACAAATCTAAACGTGATGAGTCAACTGTTGTTTTTGAAATGTACATAAAAACTTCTTTAGGAAAAGGATTTGAGTTTTGCTTAACCATAATAGACCAGGAGAAACATTTACATTTCAATCCCCATGACTACCAGATTAATTATGTAAACATTGATTTTGTATGTCATCAGTGTGGATTTTGTGTCATGAAGGTACAGATGTCACTAGTCTCTAGTGGCAAGGAGGGAGGAGATCAGAGATGGCTGGCTTTTATCATTACCAAGATCTATTTTTTTCTTTTTTAACAACAATTATGCTTAATCTAAATGACTGAGTCAAAAGAGTTAAGGAAATGGTTACCGCGGATAACATCCTAACATCCATAGGATGTTAGCACTTATTTTATTTGCAATAGTGTTTAGACAGATTTTTTTGTCCTTGTAGTTGGAAAGATGAGGGCAAAAATCACTTGCTGTTTAACATGTTACCTGGCAACCCTCCTGATTATAACTCATCACTGGATATTGCAACTGATAAGGCAATCATGGCTGGTGGTGGATTTGCCACATGGAGCTTCAGACCTGGATATGATATAAGTATTCCTGTATACAATGCTTTTACAAAGAAGAAGGGTCATTCATCAACTAAAAGGTTAGGGGCCGACGTTATTAACACTGATTTGTCAACCTTGCCACACGATAGCAGAAATATTGATCATAGTTGTTTGTAGAGAACCGCTTGCCTCAGGGGGTTGCAAAGTGAGCATTTCAATCTTTTTGTTTGCTTTTATTATCCAGTCGTACATGCAGTAATAAAAATTAGGGCAACCCGGCTTCTGTTACAGCCTCAATTCATGGCATTAGATTAAAGGTGCTCTAATATGCTTCTGTTTTGACATTTTGATCTTGGATTTTGTTTCAGTAAGCTTTGTACGGTACCAGATGGGACCGAAATACAGTCAACAAGACGCGATGTAGTTTACATATGTGAAACCCTACACTATTGATCTATTGATAACATACTGTAAAACCCCTCCCTTTTTGACGAATCAAAGCGTCTAATCAGCAATTAATCAAGTCTGTGATTAATTCAAGCTCAATGGTCATGACACTAAAGCAAATGATCTGGTAAATCATGCCTTAATCAGCTAAACTATGACTTATCTCATGAATCATCCCTTAATAATTGTTTTTCTTTTTTTTTCTTTTCTTTGGTCTGTCCTTCAATAATGACTGTCCTCTAGTGCGAATATTATAGTCTTGTAGGGAGGTCTCCTGGTTCGTTGTGGTCTCGAGATTTGAGATGTGGTCATGTTCCTTGTAGGAGAGGATTCCCTCTGATTTTCACTGGTTCCGCCTGTTTTTCTTGTGGGTTTTGGAGAACCAGGTGCGGGTGACATATCTTTTTTCTCTGCACCTCCGTGTTCGTTGTTGTTGCTGTTGTCCGTTGGTTCTGATGGCGTCTCTTGAGTCTTCTTAAGATGTACCCTGTTACGGCGGTATGTGTCTCCTTCTGGCGTTTCTACTGTGTATGATCTCTCATCCAAACGACTAGTGACGGTTGCCTTTCTCCATTCCTTATCACCTAAACGAAATGGTTTCATGCGAACGACGTTGCCGTTGGACAGCACTGATATGCTCCTCGCACCTCAACTGTAGTAGTCGGCTGTCTCAGTTTGACGCTTTCTTAACTGAGAGCTTAGTGTCCCTTTCAGGATACATCACTCGAATTTGTAGTAGTGATCTGGCTGTTGGCAATAGTGTCTTAGTGCAGATTTACGGCAGATTCTGCTTTCCCGTTTGCCTTGGGATTACCGGGGCTGCTTGTTAGGTGCTCAAATTCCCACTTGCCAGCAAATTTCTGGAAAGTGTCGAATGTAAACTGGGGTCCATTGTTCAATAACTCGGTCAGGACATCCGTATTGTGCTAAGTGACTCTTCAACTTGAGGACCACTGTACTGGCCAGGGTGTTGTTTAACTTGTCAATTTCCCAGTAGTTGCTGAAGTAGTCGACTGTAATGAGGAAATCTTTGTTGTCAAAGGAGAAGAGATCAACTCCGATTTTCTCCCATGGCCTCCAGGGCGTCTCCACAGGCATGAGGGGGTTCCTTGGGCTGACTAGCTTCAAATTTTCTACAGGTTTTGCACATTGCGATCATTTCTCTGATTTCAGCATTCATTTTAGACCAAAATATATACTCTCATGCACAGCTTAAGCAAGATTCATATCCCATGTGAGACGAGTGGATTCTTTGTCTAATGTCTTGTCGCAGGGCTTGCGGTACGACGACTCTCTCACTCCTGAATATTAGTCCGTCCTGAACAGACAGTTCATCTCTGACGCTGAAGTAAGGCGTTACTTGCACGGGAGCATCTTTTCTCTCACCAGGCCAACCTTGTAATATGACAGTTTTAAAGATTTGAAGTGTCTTGTCTTTGCCTGTCTTGCGTCTGTGTCTCTGTCTTGCATTCACGTGTTTGTGGCGGTAGTAGGAGTTGCAACTGTGGACGTATTAGGGGAAGTCGTTTCCTCTCTTTCACTCGTGAGTGTTGTAATAAAAATTACGCTGCCACCATGTTTCAATAAGCTTTGTACGGTACTAGATGGGACCGAAATACAGTGAACAAAACGCGATGTTGATCACAAGTGTTTAATTGAGTCATTTAAGTTTTACGTATGTGAGACCCTAAACTATTGATCTGTTGATAACATATTGTAACAGATTTATCACAGTTTCAAAGACTTAAAGCAATGATTGCCAAAAAAAAAATGATATTAATTATTGTGATCCTAAATGTAACATGAACGACCTCTATGTTACCTGGGTGACAAAAAGGTGAATTAAATTATAAAGAAATTAGAAAAAAGTATGAAGGCCCGTTCTGGTCAAAATCATGACAGTAAAATTGCACCGCAAGTCAGTTTTAATCCAACTGCAGCAAATATTATGGACATGTTGTGTATTTTTGTCATCACTAAACAATACTTTTTTCAGCGTGTTTGGAATTATTTCTGGCAACAAGAGTTATTTTTGTTTTAATTATAGGAGTACTTTTTTCAATCATGCCATGAATTATTTTTCAGTGGTACTTCGAATTATTTTTCTAATGTATATCAATAATTATTTGTTAATTGGGCCGAGAATTATTTTTCGCGGTATAGCGAATTTATTTTTTAGCCTACAATGCATTGCGGGCCTTGCATTTCAAGTTTTTGACTTCTTGGGCAACCATTATGAAAACTTTGCAAGTGGAGGAGTGCTTTCAAAGAGAATGCCAAGGCGAAACATTGTCAGGGAAAGAAACGAAAGAGGTTTTCATCTTTCTTACAAAATCTGTCAGGAGCTAGTAGTCTGTGCGTTCGTGATGCGGTTTTCTGGACCGAAGATTTAATAGAGGAGACTACGAAGTGACTTCACGACTCCTACACAATTCTAACCCTTATTGAACATGACATGTCTGCCCGATTGAACTGTTCTCTACCCAATCTTATACCTCGAGTCTTCGTACTACACATTAATAAATCTAGGAGGGTTCAATGCTTGCCCATCTCTGCGGTCTGCCAATGCAAAATTAAAACACACAAGAAGAAGCTAGCCATGTATGTGTCCAATGATGTCTGCTATGATGAAAAACTGAAGCCCTTGTCCATCAATGACCACACTGTCAGAAACATATTATTCTAATTCGCCAGTGAGCTCCGTGATATGACAATATTAATCTCCAAGACATCTTAGTTTGGCATGACATATCCTCACTCTTTATGACCTTTAACAACATACGTACCTGTAGATAATGGTCATTGTAAGACCACAAAAGGAGCCTTTGAAAATGATTGTAGTTCAAGAAAGAACTGCAGTACCAAACATCAAGACTTGCCATTAAAAATTGGTTACAGTGGAACCTCGATTTAACCAACCTCTATATAACGAAGTCCTTGGTATATCAAACGATTTTCACCGGCCCGGCCAAAATTGCAGTAAAATGTAAGAAACAGAACCTTGATTTAACGAAATCCTCTTTATAACGAACACAATCCCCGAGTGCAAATGTAAAATTTACCTCGATATAACGAATAAATGTCAGCATGTGATAAAAGATGAATGCCAAACAGACCAACAAGCTAGGATAGAATTTATGTGGTAGTAGTTTAGGTAGTTTTAAGCAGTTTTGTTTGCCTGTTTTTGAGTTTCTAGTGCCAAAGCTATGTATAGCTCAGTACTGAAATGTTATTACTGTACAGTAATTTTTCAGATCCGGAAATGCTGGGTTTTGTAAATTGACAATTAACTATAAGTGTACCTCCATAATAACGAACATTTTGGTAGTTTTCCCAAAAGTTCGATAAATGAACAAATTTCCCCAGTCCCTTATTGGCGCTTTGTTAAATTGAGGTTCCACTGATTTCCGTTCGAAGGAAACCTGTATGAGTAGGTTGAAGGTTTAACATCCAGAAACAGCTAGAAGCCAAAAATAAGATGCCTGCTTTTTACAAACGCAGTGTCGATGATATGCTTAGCGCAATGCCTGATGTTGAAACAGCCTCTGATAGTCCTTCCTGATGATGTTAAACGACATTCATCCTTCTATCAATTTCACAATGGAGGTTTAAGATAATGGCAGTCTCTTCTTTCTGGGAATGGACATAATCAGGAATCGATGCCAGTTGGACACAAACGTGTAAAGGTAGTCAAACAACGGACACTGGGTCACTGTTTCATTACCACAGCTACGTGGATGGTATATAAATGGCGTGAAGTCTACTATCTGCCAATTTAAGTGTCAGATGATTACTAATATAACACAACAAAAAGTTGTTGAGAAGAATGAAGCCCCAATCACGATTTTGCTGCCTTTCAAACACCAGAAATCTACAACGGAGTATGCAGACAACTTGGAGACCTTAGTTGGAAGATCAGTGCAACTATCATCCTGGTGAACACAGGTTGAAAGAACAGGGATGAAATTAAAGTGAGGGAAGACAAGCCACCCCTTGTGAATTAAAAATATGTGTGTGTATCATTTTCAGTATAACCTGTTTGTTATCTGGTTATGTGGGTTGCACTTGCCAGCACCTTCTAGCAGTGAATTGAAGAACACAAGGGATGTGCAATAGGAAGCCAGCTGAGGGATCAGCACGTTATTATGTCCCCAAATGACATTGCACAAATGTTAACGACTCCGGTGGTTGAGCCGCTGTCCATCCTCATAAGGAACTGATCAATAAACTGTACAGAGGCTGTAACAGTGGAGGATTTCAGTCTGAAACCAAACTTTTTTGAGGAGATTAAATAAAATATTATTCTCTGTCAGGTATCCAGAAAAGTAGGTATGGACGGCTCTTTCTAAGATCTTGCTCAAGTCAAAGTGGACAAGATGGAGATTGGCCTACAGTTTGATGCATGGATCTCGTCTATCACCTTTCTCATGCAGTGGTACAACCCTCGCATTTTTCCAAGTAGAAGGAAAAGTCCCTGTCAGTAACGATAGGTTGAACGACATAGTCAAGGAGGGGGCAACAGCGTGTACATGTAGAATTATTGACTTTTGGTACAAACTCATGCTAAGTTAATAATTTTTTATACTGATAGTTTCATTTCACAAGTACGTTAAAGATATTTGCTTCCAATCTGTGTGGGCTTTAAATTCCCAGTTGTAAATTTGCTCTTACTAGAATTTAAGTAGATTTTAGTGGAGCTCTCGCGCACTGGAGCACCATGGGTAAGGAAATGTGGTAAAATAACTCAGTCAACAGGTATGGCAACCCAAATGCAACTCGAGGTTTTTTTGACGGGAAATCGGATAGCCACCTGCGTCCTGTGAAGCAGAGACAACTAAAGAGTCAATGAAGACGAAAACGGAAAGTTGAAGTTGTCTCTGTATCCATGTTTTCTAAAGTATTAAGCTTAGATTAATTCTCATGTTCACAAATTTGGAATATAGAGCAAGAGAAAGACAGAGAAAAAGAGAAAGTAGGCGGCAGGCTAGCGAAGCTCAACGAGAAAAAGGGCGATGGAGATCTAGAGCGAGAGATAAAAACAAAGGAGGCATTTTTTTTGTCGGAAGAACAACATGAAAATTTTGTAGCGGCGGTGACAAAATGATAAATGCTAGCGGCCACCAACGCAAGGTGAAAATGAGCGGCAGTGAAAAAAAGTGAACGAGAAAACGTAAGACATTTCCTCCATAAAACGTGTAACTAAGACGTTTCTGTAAGTTTCACGTTGTAGTCGTGCAAAACAACGACAAATAAATGTCAAAAACAAGTGTGCTGCACGTGCAAAGTTGCTTTTTTGCTAATTAGACCTATTGTTGTTTTTCACCGTTCTCCGGCGTTGCCTTCGCCGCTTAGCATTACACGATTTTATATTTTGTTTGAACAAACTATAAATATTATCGAGAGCTTCGCTTTTAACCCTGGCGAAATCTCATATATTATAGCCATCGCTTAGGTACTGAGGTTACCTGTGTTTCACCTTTAGGTTAATAGACTGGAGATTTGTGTCATCCCAAGCAAACATGAACCACCGGTTTATGAGAGAACTGGAAGACGTTGAAAAAGAAAACTCTGGCTTTTTGATTCTGAAGCATT